CCTGCAATTTCTTTTGAGTTTTTTGACTTCTTCGTTTCTCCAGGGTGATGCATGTTTTACGTTAATCTTTTTGGTGGTGAGTGGAGCAACGGAGTCAAGGCTTTTCTTCAGTTTGCTGTTGAAATAACTAAAGATCAAATCGCAGGGTGCAGGTAAAATCACAGGGGGGCATTCGACTAAAACCCTGGTAAAATTTGCAGCCACTTCAGAGGTTAGATAGCGCCTCCTCACGGTTCGCACTGAGGTCTCCCGCTGAATAAAACCGGTGATGTTAAAAAACACACAGTAGTGGTCAGAGACAGCCAAGTCAACAACAGAGGACACGCTGGTGGACAGCCCATGGGTGATGACCAGGTCCAGAGTGTGTCCTCTGTTGTGAGTCGGCTGCGTGACGTGCTGGATAAAATCCAAACAGTGAAGAATGTTTAAGAATTCTTTTGTTGCAGGGTCAGAAGGATTATCTATGTGCAGGTTAAAATCACCGGTTAAAATTATCATATTATATTTTGAATGTATGTTTGTTAAAAATTCTGAGAATTCCTTGATAAAAGCAGCGCTGTCTTTAGGTGGTCTATAAATTGTGACAGATAAAACTGGAGGGCTGCTGAAAACAATAGCATGGAATTCAAAAGTGGTAAAATGATCAAATAAAATTTGTTTGGTGGTGAGTGTGTTGTTGGCTAAAGATGCAGTCCCACCACCTCTCTTACCACTTCTAACAGAAAAAGAGAAATTAAAATTTGGTGGGGAGGCCTCAGTGAGAACAACTGGTGCATCCAAACCCAGCCATGTTTCAGTTAAAAATAAACAGTCAAGTTTATTATCTAAAATTAAATCATTAATAATAAAAGACTTGTTCAACAGAGAGCGGACATTTAAAAGTGCCATACTGATTGAGACTGGTGGATTTTTGACAATAGAGTTGAATGGATGTTGATATTTTTGAAGAGGCCGGAGGTTATTAATGTTTTTGGAGTTACTGGATTTATGATAATTCTGTTGCTCTCTGTTTGTGATTATGACGGGTATTGTGTTGACTGTGGGAGAGAAAGGTCCTAGTCCAGAGTTTTGTGTATTACTGTTAAAAGTGGAACAAATATAGGAGCTGGGACCAGGGGAACATCAGTCAGTGGCAGACAGATCAGCAGGTAATGTCAGTTTGGGGTAGTGACAGGGCGATGTGCGGGAGTGCTGTACGCCAAATGCCAAATTGGCGGACAGCAAACGGCGTCCCCAGGCGTTGAGGTGGAGCCCGTCTGCCCCAAAAAGATGCCTCCTCTCCCAGAAGGCATCAAAGTTGTTAATAAAACCCACGCCGTGGGAGACACAGGCGGAGGAAAGCCAGGTGTTAAGGCTGAGCAGCCGGCTGAAACGGCCTATCCCTCTGCCACAGGTGGGGGTGGGCCCAGAGATAAAAGCACTCACCTGCAACTGACCAAGGAGGCTGAAGAGTTCGAGGAAGTCCAACTTCAGCAGCTCAGATTGCTGTTTGGGGATGTCATTGGTGCCGATGTGGATGATGAGCCGGTTAACCTGTGGGTGGGATGCCAGAATGTTGGGAATTCTGTCCACTATGTCAACAACAGTGGCTCCCGGGAACGACAGCGTGAGCCCCCCTCATCCGCACGTTCCTGACGATGGAATCCCCGAGGACCAGCGTGGAGAGAGGAGGTGCCACCGGGGGCTGTTGGCCATCTGAGATGCCCACGCCGCGACACCGGGGGTGTTCAGATGGAGATGCGCCAGCCGGACTGCGTGAGTGACTCCCAGGTAGCCGCGCCGTGGGTCCTCTTCTCCGAGGAGCCGGGGTAAAGCACAGCTCTCCACGGTGAGTTTGCACCACAGCGTCTGGTTGCCCGCCGCGGCTCCGGGGGCGTAGTGGTGGAGATGGCGCAGACCTCAGTGACACAGCGGGATGGCGAGGGCTAGCGGTCAGAGGAGGAAAGTCCACAGGATCCAGGACATTGGGTTTTTCTCTGTATCTATGAGGCCTTGAGGCAACTTTTGTTGTGATTTGGTGCTATTTAAATAAAATTGAATTGAATAGAAAAACACATTAAGACAATAACAAAGTCAGCTTACTATCACCTCAAGAATATTTCAAGGATAAAAGATCTGATGTCTCAACAGGACCTGGAAAAACTAGTCCATGCATTCATCTTTAGTAGGCTTGACTACTGTAACAGCATCTTTACAGGTCTACCTAAAAAAAAAAAAAAAAAAAAAAAAAAATATATAATAATATATATATATATATATATATATATATATATATATATATATATATATATCAGTCAGACAACTACAGCTCATTCAGAACTCTGCTGCTCGAGTCCTCACTAAGACCAAAAAAGTGGACCACATCAGTCCAGCTCTGAGGTCCTTACACTGGCTGCCTGTCCGTCAGAGGATAGACTTTAAAGTCCTGATGCTGGTCTATAAAGCTCTGAATGGTTAAGGACCAAAATACATCAGTGACCTCCTGACCCAGTATGAACCTTCAAGATCCCTCAGGTCGTCTGGATCCGGTCTTTTATCAGTTCCCAGAGTCAGAACCAGACACGGAGAAGCTGCATTCAGCTTTTATGCTCCTTATATCTGGAACAAACTCCCAGAAAGCCTCAGATCAGCTGAAACACTCAGTTTATTTAAATCCAGGTTGAAGACTCACCTGTTCTCAGCTGCATTTGAATAAAGCACCAAATCCACACTTTAAGCTTAAATTTCAAAACTAACATTTTAACTACTGATTTTATCTATTTCTGATTTTATATACTGTTTTGTTTGTTTGTTAATTAGTTGGTTTGTTTGATTGTTTTAATCAATTTAAATCATGCTTTTTACTTGTTTTTGTTTCTAATGTCTCTGTAAAGCACTTTGAATCACCTTGTTGTTGAATTGTGCTATACAAATAAACTTGCCTTGCCTAACAACAGCTGATCAAGCTTAAACGTGCTGCTGTTTAGCGCGACATCGCTGGTTTCCTCTTTCTGGCACAAAGTGGGCGATAAACAAACAAGAGAGAGAAGCTGATTAGCTGATCATTGATCAGTTTCATGATTGAAGTAGCAACAAGAGAGGGAGGGGGGAGGATGAGAGAAGAAGAAGCAGCTGCAGCGTAAACACAGAATAACTCCAGCTTTGTGTCTTTTTTCCATTCCAGCTGAAGTCCGGGACAAACTGTTCCTTTTCTCCTCAAATGAAATGCATAATATTTTCTCTGAATATGGGACGATTACATTTTTTAAGGAGCCGTTGACAACTCTACGAATCTTATGAATAAAATAAAGTTCACTATCAGTAACATCATAGCACCCACAGCTGTATAGAAACTCCGTCATGCTAGCTAGTAGCAGTACGAGTTATTGTAACTGACTGTAAAAAGTCAGCACAACGAAAATGAACTAAACGTGGTTTATATCTGACCCAGATAGACTGCAAGTCATAACTTCTTACCTGGAGTTCAGTTCACAGCCTCGGGGCTCTGCTCCTCCTGCCTCCCGTTTCCCCTCATCCACCTGCTGGCCTCTGTGGAAGCTCCGCCACAGCCACCACCAAACAACAGTTGTTTTTACACATCGGCCAGCATCTGGCCAATCCACCACCTTTGATTGTTTCTGCCATTACAAGGAAGAAAAAAAAAAAAAAAAAAAAAAAAAAAAAAAAAAACACCCCACCATCGGCCCACCGAGCAAATGCCCGGTATGCCTGATGACCAGCTATGGTCGCACCATCAGGTGGCACGCGTGCACAGGGTTGCCGACCCCTGCAGTCCAGTATATAGAGACACGAGACGACGAGGCTCCAGTTACAGCAGTGCAAGTAAACAAACAATAACTATAAGAAGAGTAAGGAAATAAATATACACTTTAGGATCAATAATGATAATAGGATCAAGGGTAAAGGGATCAATAACAATTTAAAATTTACAGTTTGACAATTTAAAATCTCACACACAATATTTCATTCATAATGTTGTAAATCCAAGCCCATCAAGTATTCATAATCTGAATCCTGGGTTGTGCGAAATCCCAGAAATAAACCTTAGACAAACTGAACCTGTGAACTAAGGTGTAGGTCTGTTAGTTTATGTTGTGGTGATCCTCGGGTTGGGGGATGAGTGTTCATACTGGAGTGCAAAATTAAAAACATATGGAAGATGGACAAGAAAAGTTCAAAGCCATCAGGTGCTCAGTTTAGAAAAAATAGAAGAGGAGGAGAAACGAGCAAAAGATGCAGATAAGTAGATGTGTGATTGGATAATGGCAGGTCATCCTGAACCAATCAGAGTCAGAATACTTTATTAATCTCTAAGGAAATTATGTGGGTTACAGTTGCTCCAAGAAGAAATGGTAAAAATAGTAACAGACTAAACTCCAAACATGTATGAAATAGCACTAATATATACAGATCACTCAATTATAAATATCAAGGATTAACAGAGGTGATTGACGAGAATATTCCAGAGCAGAAAAGAGCGTGTGTAAAAAGGATGTAACTATTGCAGTGTTTACAGTGTGTTCGATGGAGGAGTTGTACAGGGAGACGGCCACGGGCAGGAATTACTTCCGGTGTCCTTCAGTGGTGCTCTTTGGTGACCTCAGTCTCTCACTGAGCGTGCTCCTGTGACTAGTCAGTACGTCATGGAGTGGGTGGGAGGTGTTCTCCATGATTGTCCTTATCTTGGACAACATCGGCCTCTCAGACACCACCCTAACAGAGTCCAGCTCCATCCCCACAACATTACTGGCCTTGTGGATCAGTTTATGGAGTCTGTTGGCATCTGTGACCCTCAACCACTCATAGCACTGACCACAGAGATACAACAAGAAAACATTAATTAGCAGGGATAGTGGAAACGTCTGTTTACGTTTGTAAGCCACTTGGCTATGATAGTAAACAGTAGACACTGATGTAGCCAACTGAATCTTTTGGACTGTTTCCAGCACAATATTAATTAATCATTGTCAATTTGTCTTTTTCTCATTGTACAACGAATTATGATTGAGGGAGGGTTCACCCAGGGCGCCAAACAGGCTAGGACCGCCACTGCCCAGGACTCCCAGAAACCTGACAGCATCACAGGAAACATGAAGCCAGGCTGTGATGGTGACGTGTGTCCACCAGAGGGCAGAGTTTCACTGCCTTTGAGGCACCTGAGCTTTGAAGGAAAGAAAGACACCTGACAGCTTCAGTGACGTCACCAAAGTCTTAAAAACTGAACACGTGATCATGTTTCGAGCTTCTGTTTTCTTCCTAATATCTGGATAATTAATTGATAACTAATCTATTGACCGCGTGTTGCTGGTGGACCATCAGAGGTGTTCACATCTATATTTCATATCGTTTTCTTTTATGACAGAGGTTAAAGTTCAGCTTACGTCTCATCGCAGACTCAGTGTCCCACGTTTTATTATTATGGTGCTCATTAACAACAACCCAAAAATGGCAATAAAGGAAGAAAAAACATGCTTCAGAATTCAGCCTCTGTACATGCAAAATATTTAAATGGCTTTTATATGTAAATGAAAAACGAATAAAAGAACGAACAACACGAGTTTATAACGTATCCTTTTAATTATCGCGCCCACAAAAATATATGAATGAAACGAAACCTGTAAGTTAATTTTTCTTTGTCTGGTACGATAAACTTTTTTTCTATAATCCGCTGATGATGTTGGATTTTAAAACTATAGGTTTTTTTTTTTTTTTAAAGAACTCTTATAAACGCCGGAGGTCACCGAGAGCAGCTGGGAAAGCAGTTTTATTTATAAGGTTCTGTGAGGCGAAGACTAAAGCTGTGCAGGACCGAGAGCGACACACAGCGAGGAAGTCTCAACAAACTGTTTCACGACCTGCAGGCAGGAAAGCTCAGTTCAGACTCACCTTCATCAAACGTGCGGCTCCGTGAGTGCGCTCGCTCTGCAGCAGCGAGGATCTGCACCTCCTCACTCCGAGGAGCTCTTCTCTGAAAGCAGCTGCTGTGGATCCGCATCAGACACACCTGAACTTGAAGAAAAACGGGAAACCTTCAGATTTCTGTCAAAGAAACCAACACAGAACTTAATTACTGCTCCAGCTGATCCCCGGGGGAAGTCGCGGGTCCATTAAAGGTAACGCAGACGGACACCTGAGAGACCCTGACAGGCACAGACAGGTGTGCGCAGCAGCAGCAGGGGTTCCGGGCCCGGCTAGAGTGTCTGTGGCTCTCTGCAGGTACCCTCCCACAGTGGGACACACACGTCGGGTCGGCTGGTGCTTCTGTCTACCTGTTAGCCCTGCGACGGGTGGAGACATGTCCAGATGGTGCCTGGGTCTGCTCCTGAGAACCGGATCACTCGTTAATGAAACTGCTGTTTCCAAAGTTTGTTAAACAGTGGGTGGAAGTGTTTGTTTCTCCCGTGACCTGTTAACACGAGAGCAGACGTCTTTGGCACATTAAAAACATAAAGAAACTGAAGCAAACGAACTCGGCGTGAACTTTCCACGCTTTGGTTCAGATATTTCACTTCAGCCTGGAGGTGATTTTGTTTCGGGGTTGTTGTTTTTTTGGTTGTTCTTTTACAGACCGAAACATTTGAAGTGTGCGTTTCACGTGCGCTATATATAAGTGTTGAAGAGCTCTGAGCTCGCGTGGATTCAGTATACCTGAGGGAGGGACAGTCCAAGTGTCCATGGAGACTTTCTACAACCACACGCGGAACCAGCGGCAGGACCAGAGCCAGCACCCAGTGGTCACGGCGGCAGCGGACAGCCCCGCGCACGGGAGTGACCTCAGCCTCCGCGCGCTCACCGGATGCGTCCTGTGCGTCCTGATCGTGTCCACGCTGCTGGGGAACGCGCTGGTGTGCGCCGCCGTCATCAAGTTCCGCCACCTTCGCTCCAAAGTCACCAACGCCTTCGTCATCTCTCTGGCCGTGTCCGACCTGTTCGTGGCCGTGCTAGTGATGCCGTGGAGGGCCGTGTCCGAGGTGGCCGGCGTCTGGCTGTTCGGCCGCTTCTGCGACACGTGGGTGGCGTTCGACATCATGTGCTCCACGGCCTCTATCCTCCACCTGTGCATCATCAGCATGGACCGCTACTGGGCCATCTCCAGCCCGTTCCGCTACGAGCGCAGGATGACGCGCAGGTTCGCGTGCGTGATGATCGGTGTGGCGTGGACGCTGTCTGTACTCATCTCCTTCATTCCCGTGCAGCTCAACTGGCACCGCGCGGGCGCGCAGAACGCCACGGACCCGGGGGACTGCAACGCGAGCCTGAATCGCACCTATGCCATCTCCTCTTCCCTCATCAGCTTCTACATCCCCGTGCTCATCATGGTGGGCACGTACACGCGCATCTTCCGCATCGCGCGCACGCAGATCCGGCGGATCTCGTCGCTAGAGAGGGGCTGCCGCGCTGTGCACCGGCGGGCCCGCGCCTCCGCGCACGAGGAGAGCTCTCTGAAGACTTCCTTCCGCCGCGAGACCAAAGTGCTGAAGACGCTGTCGGTCATCATGGGCGTGTTCGTGTTCTGCTGGCTGCCGTTCTTCGTGCTCAACTGCATGGTTCCCTTCTGCCGCCTGGAGCGCCTGGGCGCGCCGCCCTGCGTCAGCGACACCACGTTCAGCGTGTTCGTGTGGTTCGGCTGGGCCAACTCGTCCCTGAACCCGGTCATCTACGCCTTCAACGCAGACTTCCGGAAGGCCTTCTCCACCATCCTGGGCTGCAGCCGCTACTGCGCCACCTCGGCGGTGGAGGCGGTGGACTTCAGTAACGAGCTGGCGTCCCACCACGACACCACCCTGCAGAAGGAGGTGTGCGCTGCGCCGACAGAGCTCGAGCGCGACTTCGATAAAGTTTCGGCCACTTCCGTTGATTCCAGGAACCGCCGGAACTTGCTGCTGCCCGCCATCCTGCGGCACGAGTGCGAGGCCGAGATCTCTCTGGACATGATGCCCTTTGGACACGATGCACCGGCAGACTGTTACGTGATACCCGGTCAAGTCCAGGACCTGTGAGCAGACCGGGATTGACCTTTGACCTTCTGCTTGTGACTTTAAATGAGGGGATTTTTTTCCTGTTGTCGGGTCATTTAAGTGTGGATGATTTTTCCATCAAACATTTGAGAGGATGTAAAAAAATGGATACTCATCATTATCATCATCATCCCGACTTCAGATTGAAGGCAGGAGGTCGTCCTGTGTTTGTCACTGAGCTCTGTTATGCTCATTCCCAATATTCCAACATCTGGACATAAAAACAGATGACAGAGTTTGTCCGAGTCACTGGAACGCCTTACCATTTCCTGTTAACGCTCTTTATACATTAAACTCTTTGCTTGAGACTCACTTCGTCTCTTTCATTTGGACCAAATCTCCACAGTTTTGGTTCCTCTGGTACTTTCCCCACCACCACGTGAAGCTCGAGAAGATCCGACTAAAAGCACAAATCCAAAATGATCCATTGAGTCAAACAGGCAGTTGTGTGTTTGTCAAATGTCATTTGTTGGAATTCTGCTCAAATCTGAATTTTAAAAACAAACCTCATCCTGCTTTATGATCACTGAGTTTATCTTCTAAATCCTGATTTCAGTGTTAAAGTTCATGATTGATCACACAGACTAACAACTAATCAGTTGTTGCTACCACGACATGATGACAAATACTTTTACTGATATATTTGGTGTCCAGTATTCGGACACTGCATGGACCCATTCGTGGCTCTGATGACGTGTTTATGGCTCAAGAGTTAGGAGTTCGCCTTGTAATCGGAAGGTTGCCGGTTCGAGCCCCGGCTCAGACAGTCTTTGTCGTTGTGCCCTTAGGCAAGACACTTCACCCGTTGCCTACTGGTGGTGGTCAGAGGGCCCGGTGGCGCCAGTGTCCGGCGGCCTCGCCTCTGTCAGTGCGCCCCAGGGTGGCTGTGGCTACATGTAGCTGCCATCACCAGTGTGTGAATGTGTGGATGACTGGATATGTAAAGCTTTGGGGTCCTTAGGGACTAGAAAAAGCGCTGTACAAATACAGGCCATTTATGTGTTACAGCCCACGCAGGGAGATCAGGGATTTTTGTAATGAAATAAGTGAAACAGACACAATTTATATGTTCGTGACTTTTTTTCCTCTCTTGTCATAGCAAAAAATAAATAAATAAATTAAAAAACAAAAAAAAAAAAAAAAAAAAAAAAAAAAAAAAACACCCAACAGTCATAAACAATCTTTAAAATAATTCATCCTTTACGTCAGCACTGTAAAAACAAGATTTTTCTGTCACCGAGTTTTCAGTTTATAGTAAAATGTAAAATTGTGTTTACAGCACCGCTCACAGGCTTTTCCTCTCACTGTTAAACCGATAACTCTTTAAAGGTACTTCTTTCCTTTAGCAGATCAATTTAATCAAAGATTCTTTGCTCAAGAATCCTTCATCTTTGTTTGAATCTGCAGCTGCTGAACAACAATACTGTGCACTTAATAACAGACACAAATGAGGTTAAATATCTCAGGAACGTCAGGAGTGTCTGTCAGAGACTTTAAATGGCACCAAGCTAACAGGGTGAATGTCGGGAATGAGGGGAAAATCCGTCCTGATTGTTCTCTGCTCTCGTTAGTGACACTGTCTGGATGGCACACATCATCACACATAAACTAATAAAGTTGTGTGATGTAATACAAATGACCTTAAACTCACAGATATCGATGGTGGTTTGAATTTAAACCTAAGCCCTGACTTGTACTTGATGCCCACAGATTGAAAGCTGTTTGATGTGAGTGTTCAGACCCACTGACTGAACCTCCCTTTGATATGGTAAAGATGGAGGACAGATCATTAATAACAATTACATCATTAATTTTGGCATCTAATTGGCCCTTCAGGTAATTGCAGGCTGTTGGAGTTTGTACATGCAAATTGAATGTGAAGCTGAACAAAAGCCAGATGAGCGTTTCCACGATGGAGTTTGCTGGAAAGCTTTGGGCTGCTGGTTGTCGGTGAGCTGAGGCAAAGCTCTGCAGACTCACAGAGACGGAAAACCTTTTCTAACAGCTCGTTGCAGACGGAGCAGGAACTGTGAGATAAAGGATTATTACAAACCGCGATCATGCAAAGCTCCTTTAGCATAGTCCAAGAATGAAATTGAGCACAATAATTGCACTTTAAAGTTACTGTCATGTTGCTGTTTGAAGCTTTGGATCAGTTCAAGATTAATGTCAGTATTTCATTTAAATCTTCCTCACTGTGTTAAGGTGAGGGAGAGCCAGACTGTTGTTTTACTGCACAGGAACCCGACAAGTCCGCGACTTTAATGTTAAATGTAGGACAAAGGTGAAGGCAGCAGCATCACCACGCTTCCAAAATACTGAGATTTGAGGGGGAAATGCAAATTTTCATCAACAGTCAAAAAAGAAAAAAGGAAATTCAACAACCAAACTCAAGTCTGGCTTCAATGTCACCTCCAAAAATGTCCCTGGGTGGAGATGTGGAACAGGTGGAGCGCTGTGATGTTGAGTGGATCCAGATGGAGAGGTCAGAGCTGATTAGCATTCAGAGTCAAGGATGAAGGTCACAGAGAGCCCTGAGAAAGGAAGTTTGGGTGATCCGAGGCAGCTTGCAGGTGTCCTCTGGAGTGTCTCTCACTGATCCTGAAAACATGAACTCAGAGAAGAAATCGCTGCAGAGATTTCACCACGTTTGTTGTTCTGACTGACAGACACCGAGCAGCCAATCCCAGCACACCAGGGTCCAGCATGGCGCTGAAAGTGTGGCGCTCCATCTCTCAGAAACATGTACAACAGGAAAAGCTGAAAATCAAAAATCATATTAACCACAAACTTTTCAGGTTATTAACAGCAAACACAGAAATCTGTTTGTGCCATTATGGAAATGTTTCACTCTTTTATAAAACTGCAGCTCTTTCTACCCGATGAACATCAGTCAGCCCAGACTGAAATGTTACATGTGTGAGGCAGACACGTAATAAACAAGCAGAGAAACCATGTTGCACAGTCACATGATCATTGCAGCCTGTGTAATGCTCAACTACTGCATCAACAACTTGATTTTCAGCCCAGTGCATGCCCACAAATCTCACTTATTCCCTGCAGTAATCAGCCATGTACAGGCTGTGAAGTTGGAATTTGCTCCAATCAGAAACTTCTGGAAATAAAGCATATGATGCATAGTGGGTGGGTCCAGCACTGGCAGAAATCAGAGAGAAATATCTTAATAGTAATATGTACAATTAACAAGCACCCTGAATCGGATAATTGAAGAAGTAAAACTTCTTCCAGGCAATGAAGTGCCAGAAATCCAAACTCCATTTGAATATGCAACAGATCTTTGAGATGTTTGTGTTGCCTTCAGATTGCTCTAAACAGTTGTTAGTCTGCACTCAGTCAGTGAAAACTGCTCCACTGTTCCCAATATCAATATGGAGTCTCCATCAGGTTCAGGACTATGTGAAACCTCTTGAGTGTTTATAGCAGCAGCATCAAGGCAACTGAGCAAATCACAAATTTATCCAAGTTTGTGCTCATAAATCAGCAGGATGACACGATGAAACGCTGTCGTCTGCATATAACATCTGTAATATATTTTAATCTAAGAGGTATGATGACCAGAATCTGTTATCCAAGCTGAGGTTTTAAGTACAGTCATCTTCCACTTCCCTCACCTATGGTGTGCCACAAGGTTCTGTATTGAGGCCCTTATTATATACATAATGCTGATTCAACGTTTCAGTTATGGACGTTCTTCTGTCACATTACATTCAGAGCTCTGTGCACTCAAACACGCATCACTATGCTTATGTTTAACATAATGAAGATGTGACTACGACACCTCATTGGTCAGCTTAGTGCCTTCTTTGATAACATTTTGTTAAATAAACAGAACAAGTGCTCAGTATTGCACCAGCTTCCCCTGTTTGAAGCTTTTGTTCCACATGTAGAAATGTTGCTGCAGCAGAGGTGAAAGGTTGCACAGAGAAACACAACCACACTTAAGAGCTCTTTGTGACACACTCTTTCATCTCCAGGAGAAAGCGGCCAGGATTGTGCTCGTGCCTCCTTTCATTCGCTCTCTGAAGTCACTCAGTGCCAATGCTGGCGTTTCAGTGACAGCCAGGCGGATCGCCAGAGAAGATTAACAGTGTTCGTCTTCTCCGAGGTATTCAAGTGTTTGCATAAAACACATACAACCACATGGAGGGAAAACATGAAGAGAAGAAACCAACAAATTCAACGATAGGGGAAACTCCCATTTCAAAATGTGTTCAAAATCAGAGCGCTTAGAATAAAATAGAGTAGATTTGATTCATTTCTTCTGCCTTCATGATATAACAAAAAAATATAATGTAAAATCAGTAATTTAGTAAAAAGGATACTGTACTCAAATATACAGATTAGTGTCTAATTACATCTTCCATTAACCGGACCCATATAATTAATCTAGAATAAATATCAGTGGGTTGGCAGTTTGTGGAAGCCACTATATCTGAATACAGTGGAGGGAAAGGACATTTGCCTTGCAACTAATGGTGTTTTACGTATGTGGTGCTAGAGAGCGGAGATGCAATGTGCAAACCGAAGGAGAAAGAAGTCACAGGTGTTTGCGTGAAGGTACATTTAGATTCATTCTGCACCGTCATACCCTACATTTTATCCCCTTCACAAAAACACAAGGAAAGAGAACGCCACTGGCATCTTATTAAAATGTTGTCTTCATTTAAGTCAGAGCTCTAACACAAAAACATGCTCCCAGGTCAGACACGTGACCCTCTCATCTCTGGAAAGCTGACAAGCGCAGCCAGCAGCCAGTTCTAAGCTAACATTAGGCTCCAATGCCCTAACAGTCACTTTCCGGCTGATAAATCGTTCAACTGCGTCTCACCTGGCATTGAAAGCTGAGGTAAACAGCGGACTGACTGCCTTCTACAGTTGAAATTTAAGGTTGTGTCTCTGACAGATGAAAATAAGTTATCCTAGCCACTGTAGCCAGGCTTACGCAAATAAGTTTCTGGAGGTAATTCAATAGAATTCTGCAAGCTGCGGACATCTGTTAAACTTTGACATACTGTAGCTTTAATTGTCAGGCCATGGTTTGACTTTGGGATCTGGGGTCTTGGTTGAGTATTTTCAGTGCATTTGAGTTATTCTCACCATTTTAAGTCTTGAGTTGTAGTTGCTTTAGTGTTGCCTTTCACTTCATTATGCTTTTCATCATCATTCATCCAATGTGACAGAATCACGTGACCTGCAAGACAACCTTTGTGTCCATGCATATCAGCCAGTTTAAAGAAAGTTGGAACCCATCACCTCTGACCGTGATGGTGTCAGGTTCAGCCAGTTAAGGCCAAGTCTGCCTATGCTGAATGTGTAAACGTCAAAGTGTCTGACATTGTCCACAAAAACCTAAAGCTGACCTAATGACTGGTTGCCCAGTAAAAGACTGGAGAACAGATTTTGTTGTTATAGTGCATTTAATGACCACATGATGCATGGAGGCCCAGGCTCAGCTCATCAAGTTGACCTGACACACACACACGGTTTCAACCTAACTTTATTCTTTCATGAGTTATTTACACATTTCTCTTTCTTCACAGTCATTGACATGTTGAAGAGGTTTTCACGTGAGGAGCGGATCGAAATTGTGTTGATATCTGGTGAACGCAGTAACCGGGTCATTGCAGCAGATTTCAATGAAAGACACCTTACGAGACCACCCATCTCCCATGCTACAGTCAGCAAACTGCTGGCTAAGTTTCGTGAAACTGGTTCAGTGTTGGATTTGCCAAAATGTGGACGCAAGAAAACTGTCACTAATGAAGAAACATCAGTGGCTGTTCTAGCTTCATTCAGCAAGAGCCCACAGCGTAGCACTCGCCGCATGTCCACATGCTCTTTTAATCAAGAGCTTTCCTGCATTTTTTCCAAAATATTTATTTATTGGCTATGCTATATTTTGCCTGCAACAGGCAGATGATTGTGGTTTTTGGTGAACTTTGCTCAGTGGGGAAAATCGCTAGGATTTAGGACATGGATTCAGCTTAACACTGTAATACATCTAAAACTTCTGTCCAAAATTTTGGGATTTCTGGACATTCACATAGGCAATGCATCAGTGTACCTTTATCCCCACATTGTTTAATAAAGTTGGGGTGATACATGTTCTAATATATACTGGATTAGATTAAATTGGGTGTTTATAGATTGTGTTTGGGCTTTCAAGTAGGCTTTTTGACATTGCGCTGTGGTTATTCTACACTTTAAGTCTTGACACCATTCAAATCTTTTTTTTTTTTCTGAGGACGTTTGAGAGCTGTCCCTGAGGTTGTTATAAAGACGGGATATTAAACCCTTCATCAGCTGATGGTTTATTGCTGTGTCCTTTAATGAGTTTAGAGTGGGCAGTGTTAGGGATTTGAGTTTTTGAAATGAAGCTTCTGATCTGTAGAAATGTTTGGTTGCAATGCCAAATTTCCATGTCAAGTCATTAAAGCACATTAGGGTGTCCTTGTCAAATAGGTCTGCAACTTTACACAAACCTCTGGCAGCCCACATTTTAAAACCAGAATCTTTCCAACCAGGGTCAAAGGCCTTATTGCCCCAAATCGGTGAGAATTAGGATAGTGCTCCTGTTTCATTTTTAAGCTTAAGTGCATCAAACCAGACACAAATGGTATTTTTAACAAACGGATTCAATGCATCTTTCAGATCTCTCTCACACACACACACACACACACACACACACACACACACACACACACACACACACTTTTGTGGAGTACAGGTAAGAACTGAGCAGTGAGGGGGTAGTGCTTGGCCTTTCTAAATTTACCCAGGATAAAGTTGTCGTTGAAAACCAGCATGAAGCTATAGAGAGCAGATGACATTTTAATGCTATCCAAATTAAAGAGCTCAGTTCCCCAGCTACTCAAAACAATTTACCCTACAACATCTCTGGGTATAAAATTAGTCAAGCCAAATCGGCCATCCTCTTAACAGTCTCAGAGAATTAAACCACCCATTCAAACAACCGTTCAAGTTGCCTGAGACAGTCTTACCCGTGTGTGTGTGTGTGTGAGATAAATATAAAAAAAAAAATTCACTCCAAAGATAGATGATTTGGCATGTGCAAACCATGCTCCAACAATCAACTCTGTTGTTGAATCAATTGATTGACTATGCCGCCAATCTCTGATTGGACGTGTAAACATTCCTCTTAGTCCTCCAGATGACTTCTTCACAAAGGCAAAAAAATAATACGCACCAAATTCATTTGGAATAACAGACGAGCCAGACTATGCCTATCATTACTATATCTTCGATAGGGGAAGTCTCTGTATTCCAAGCCTCATGCTTTCCTGCATTTTTAATGCAAAAAAACAAAACAAAAACAAAACCACACTGTACACACTTTCCACATCAGCTGAAGTTTGACCCAAGAGTTAGTATAATTTGTAGAATTTAAGATGGTGGAATTGCCAAGGGTACACAAGATCAGAAACTGCATTTGTTTAAATGTATAAAAATGAATGAGATTCCCCATACCAGATCGGTAAAGGCCTGGGTTAACGATCAGTTCTGTTTTTTATTGCTAGCACTTCTAGCACTGGCAGTTACAGCTGGGCTAGTTTGCCCTGAATTAAAAGATTTCAACTAAATGTAAGCTTGTAAAACAAAGTTAATTTAAGCTTCTGGGCATTCTGAAGTTGAAGGAATAGCTTACCTTTCATTGTTACAGAGAAACAAGATCCACTGCTGAAAAGCAGGAAACAAATGCAGGAAACCCTGTGAAAAAACAAACAAGTCTCTGTAGATAAACTACTTAATCAGACAGCATTAAATTTCACTACTCACTTCAAAACAAGCTTGAGCCCCATGTCTAACTCAAAAAGCAGCACGAGTCATCTACAGCAAGTCGGGATGAAAAACATGAGGGCGCTGCAGGTTTGTGCTTTAACTGGTGTGTGGTTGCTGTTCGCTTTATATTGGTGCAGTTGCAATTACAGTGATTAACCACACCTGGTAAAACCTGCATTTAGCTTGCAACTTGGAAGTGTTTTACCTATCTACTGAACAGTTAGGAGCAAATGAGCGTAACCATCCAAGGGGAACAAGTTGTCAACCTAATCTTATATTGTTTATATACTGCCTGCTTTTTCTTTTCTTTTTTCAAACAGTCAATATGTCAAAATCTTCAGGTTAGTATTGTGGAACTTTGACTTAAAAATGAAATATTGGAATAAATTGAAAATCTAAGATAACATAAAAGCTATTTTTAAAAAACATTTCTGACTTACACTTTTGTTTTTTCCCAGTGCAGGAAACAAGCCTCCATAGATATGACCTATGATTCTGAACGTACAATTCTTATGTTTTAATGAACACTTAAACTTAATTTAGATTATGTTTCAAAAACCAACATATAGCACTGACTTTGCATTGAAAATATACCTCATATCGGTATATCTAAATCCTACAGCTATGTCAATGTTGTGCTAAAAATTCATAGGACATTTACGGTTGCACATCTGAGGCCTTACAGCATCAACAAAACCAGCTAATGTTAGCTCAGCTCAAACTTGAGTGTTGTGGTTGCAGAGAGCGGGCTGGCAAGGTTCGTCAGCCAGCAAGATAGTTATGGGTTATTCAGGAAATTCATGTTCACCAAATCAGAAAAAAAATGGTGAACAAAACTAACTCGACTTTCTTCTTACTGTTCAATACACAGTTGTAAGAAACCTGATGTAGGAACATATGATGGGTTTACTCATGCCAGCAATGTTTTTGTGTTACTTGGGGAGCGGCTTAGACACAGGAATGTATTTTCAGCTCACTAGCAGTAGAAGTTTGGCACCCAGTTATCCTGCTGCATTTATTTACAGGCCATGATACCCATTATTCAGTGAACATTATTGTATTTAGAAGATTTGGTTCACGGTCCGTAGAGTTGGCAGCACACTGCAACATCTAAAACCAAGATGATTGACAGTCAATGCAATTTTTCTTTTGTTTAATGTTTGAAGACATCAGTTCTTGCACAGCTGAGGGTCAGCATCACCTGCAGAAACAAAGAAATTACCACACAGGTTTTGATTGTTCAAGTGCTAGATGCTTATAAGTAGCCCCTTACCTCAGATCCACGGCTCTTGAAACTCAGTCTCAGGGAAACTCTAGATACTGTGTCAGAGGAAAAGGAACGACTATATCATCAGAGTATTTAGAGAAAGAAAGGGCTTCTCTTCCCCGCTGGTAGCCATTCCCAGACTGGACGATGTACGATGAAGGAAATATGGGAGGTGCTGCGACCATGCCCAGTGGCACGCTGTAGGTATACAAGCCACTGAAGTCAGGGAAAGACTTGGATGGCAGCCATCTCTGAGAATCGAGAGAAAGGGCTCCTCCTACAGGAGCAGTAACCCAAGGAACGCCACCAAGAAATGAGGATCCATAAAAGCCTCCAGCACCATCCCCTCCACCTCCGAAGCTGCTAGTCCCTACCCCTCCAGTATCAGAAGTCCAGTCATCACCAAATTGATCTGAAACTAGAAACAGATTTCACACAGTTTCTTTTAATTTTTAATTTAAAAACAGAAAATCCAAGTTTTAAAGTCTAAGTCAAGAAATGAAATAAAGGCTTTATCAAGTAAAACTGTTTCAGAAGACCTCAAAATCTACATTCCTGCTGCAGCTACAGACCAGTTATCATAGACACTTGCCTTGAATAACTGTAGGGAAACAAGCTGCTCTGCTGAACAGCAGGAAGCAAACCCAAGAAACCCTGTTAAGATAAAAGTTCTCTATAAGTACAAGTACGCAAACGAAACCACTAAACAATAAAGCTCAAAACTAACCTGAGAAACAGGTCAAGCACCATGTTTAAATCTCAAACTGCACCACAGTTCAGCTACAACAGGTCAGAAGTAACAGGCTGACAGATGCTATCAGCAGAAGCTCTGTGCTAAGTGCTTATATTTGTGTTCTGCCTCTTCAGAATGAACTTCACCTGGTCCCAGTCAGTCACTGATTAATGCTGCATTCAGTTCAGCTCAGACTTTGAACATTTCTGATCTCCTCTTTGAAAGACCGTTGGATTGAGTGGGAGACGTAACCGTGGACAGTGAGTGTGAAATTATCCAGTCAAGCTGAGCTCAGACCATAATATAATCTTCTACACGTATTCTCATGTTTTGTAAGGATTCTTCAAAACCCTCAAAGTAATAATAAAGAATAAATCTTAAAGCTGCACAGAGTTGTTCTTTTATTATTCTACTTTTCATGCAAATTTCCAAATGCAGCCCGGCCTGAAGGGTGCAGATGGAGTCCAGAGCTCTTACATACAAGCTAACAATATCAGCAGCAGCAGCAGCAGATTCAATTCAGTCTTATTTATGCAGCGCCAAATCACAACAACAGTCGAGGCGCTTAAGGTAGACCCTACAATAATACATACAGAGCACTTTGGCAACAATGGGAAAGAAAAACGGGAAGGAACCTCCAGCAGAACCAGGCTCAGGGAGGGGCGGGGCAAAGAAGAGGCTGAAGAGCTGGTGAAGGGGGACATATTCTGTTTATTTGAAGCTACTAGGGTAGCTTTGCATGAATGACAGTTCAAAAATAATCTTTCTCTGGGAGCTAGTCTAGAGTCTGATGGTTATTTTGCTAGGAACCTGAAACATGAGATGATTTAGGATGAGGCCACCCTGAAGTGTCCCTCAGTCACATACAGGTATCACATCTGGTTTCCAAGAAACTAAGATGCTGATGACAAAGATAGTTGGAGGCTTTAAAAGTGAAACTTTACAAACCAATGCATGATATATGACGGTGATTACGCCTCGCCATCTTTAATATACAGTCTGTGGTTTGTGACCTATGATGTGACTTGAATTCATTTATGTCAGTTTTCAAAATCAAAGTGTGTTATTCACACTCTGAACTTTTCATTTATTTATTCATGCGCACATTTGTCATTTTCACTTTCTACAAACGTGACATTTGAACAACAAAGTTATTAAATAATAAACCTGTAAACTTCAGGCAGAGTTAGTACTCGGTCCATCACTGCAGTATTTTATTGTAATAACAGAAAAGAGCTGACACGATGACGCTAGTGTAGAGAGATTTAAATGAAACATGGAAAACCACAGACAGGGTCATTAAGGATTCACTGCCCAGCTGTAGTCCTCATTCAGCCAATCACAGAGCAGAAACAGAGGAAACCAGCCCAGAGAGCGGCGAGGACACAGCTGATCCGTTTCACACATCTCGACCGATCAAAGTCCAAATGATCGCACATCCACCTTTCCAACCAAGTGTGCTGGCTTTAGCTGAGAGCTCCACCCTCTCAGTGAAATCTGGGGACTTTATCCAGTCGTGGACTTGGAAGTACAGGATTGGAGAAACAGGTAAAAACCATAAAGCACCAACAGCTTTAACTTCAGATAAATATGCTTTACAGTCGCTGCAAACACAGGAAACAGCCAGGGTGAGAAATGTGCTTCGAAAATGCCACAAAAACCTGATGAATCCTTTAATTAGCACCATTTTGGTCCAGAGTCAATGAGGCGTTCACTGTCAGCTGCTGGTTTCTTCCCAGTCTGCACAGAAACACTGAAACGGGCACAACGAGCAGCTTCCACATATCCAGTCAGACAGCACCACATGCATCATTCACACACAGAGGAGAACAGTCGGAGCTCATTCACCCTGCAGGTTTTACAGTCTGAAAAAAATCCAACTGTTCTTTGATTTCCAGGGTTGAAAGTTTCGATTCTGCAGGACTAAAAAGAAAACGTTTCAAGATGATTTAGGTTATGAATCTGAACTCATGGATGGAAAGCGACCCCCCCCCCCCCCCCCACAGCTGAGGTTTGAGACTTCACTCTCCGGCAGTCATTGTAAAAAAAAAAAAAAAAAAAAAAAAAACACATTACATGCTCAGTGATTTTAAACCAGCATCAGCTCTATGGGAGGCTTTTTCAACTCTTGCCCACAAAATGACCTCCTGTTTTGGTGCAAACTTCTGTTATTAAACCTGTCTGCTGAGCATTCGCCTGCTCTACTATTTGAATGAGCTCAGTGTGAAACATAGCTCTGTCTTAAAAGGTGCAAAGCAAAAAACCCCAACAGGGAAACCTTTTTGGAAAGCTTGTTAATGTGAGTCCAGCTTTTAGCCCAGAAATCTTCTCATTCTCACTCATTTGGGTCATTAAGGAAAACTGAACTTTCTATCAGCACTTCCTGTTTGTAAGCTAACAGTGGGCGAGCAGTCAGCCACCACGAGGATGTTCTGAACAGGTTTAAAGCGTCATTATCTTTGTTCTGCTGCATGTGGATTACAGACCTGATCAGAACAGTGATTTGAACGCTCTCATGCTGCCCGCAGGAGGAGATTCCACATATTTATGATACATTTCTCGTTTCACAGAAAAGAGAGCCGATCAGTCTGCATCAAAATAAAATTCAGAGCTGATTGTTTTTGCAAACTTACACAGTTCCTGATGTGATCACTCTCTCCAGTTCACCTACATTACCTTAGTTAAGCTAACAGCCGTCGCTTCAATCAGAGTTCAGAAAAATGAAAACTCAATGAATCTGGACTCTAGAAAGGAAATAAATGAATAAGAATTAGTGACGTTGTGTGTTTTGTTGCTTTGTTCAGCTTCAAACAGGATTTCATGTTAGCTTAGCATTTCAGCTATAAAACAGGGGCCCGTTCTTCGTACGTCGCTCACTACATCCAAGACCAAACCATCGCGCTAACCGTGAGCTCGCTAATCCGGTTCCCCGAACACACCTGTTGTTGACGATTGGTACAGCTGGACGCAGTAATGTGACATCACTGGGTGTTGTAAAAGGGGCTACGCATCGATAGTAGAAACATTGATCGGCAACCCGCTGATTGGTCGGCGAAAATGTTGAAGGAGCGCGCTCAGTATTTTTCGGCAGCAGAGCAAGAACTCTTGATTGAGGGATTTCAGGAGTTTCAGAGTTTAATTAAAACGCAAGGGAACACTGCAAAGGCTGCAAAAGCAAGGAGAGAGGGCTGGCAGGAAGTTGCTGACAAATTAAACTCGTAAGTAATTTAATAATAACAATAATAATGGAGTGGGTTTATATAGCGCTTTTCAAGGCACCCAAAGCGCATGACAATACCACTATTCATTCACTTTATTATTTATTCATAGATTTATTATATTACACTATATTATCCAATATTGTATTACATTATATTATATTGTTATATTATATCCCCTTTCACATTAGAGCCACAACAGGACCCACTAGAACATGGGAACAAGTAAAAGTGGAATATAAGAATATTCTACAGAATGGTAATATTTATCACTTATATTGCTTTTCGTCTCTTGGAAAGAGACCCTGAAATAATCTATTTGTTTGTTCATAAAAGCAACCAAGAAAAGGGCAGAGCAAAAAAAAGACAGGTGGTGGTCCTGCACCCCCTCGTCAACAAGTTGGTTAAGTATATAATACCCTCACGGGAATATCAATATCTCTCAATGAGCACACTGTCGCGCTGAGCTAAAGGATCCTGTCTGTCCCGCAATATACGCTGAATTCTGAGGACTCTCCTTATCAATCTTGCACCTTCTGCAATGGGTGGCTCGCGTAAACGGACAGGACATGGCTGTGACAGACTTCCCAAATCCACCTTCGCTTTTATAGCCGTGGTCTCTCATCTTGATTACACGAAGTGATTTGCAATTACTACTCTGAAATATGAATTACATCTGTAATAATCACATACATGTAATAGAATGTTAATAGTACATTTCCCTTTTTTAGGAAATGACCTGTATGTATCTGTGTGACATCAATGAAAGGATCAAGTGCTGCATTATCTTTAGTTACATTGATGCTATTTATTTATGGTGAAACAGTGGTGGAATATCGCTGTTGCTTTCGTATAAATGAAGCGGACATACCTGCGTGGCCGCGATCTAATCCTGTTTACATAAAGTAAACCTGCTCCCGAGCAGGTTTACGCTTACGGCTCTGTTGCTATGACAGCAAGTCCCGGATGAGCTTCGGGGAACCGAATGATCCAGGATCACGCGAAATCGTCAACAATCTAATCCAGCTAACTTACTTAGCGAGGTACGAAGAACGGGCCCCAGATCTGACAGTTTAACTTTCCATCTGGGCAGCTGTTTGTTTGAAGGCATGCGACGCTAACCCTTAAACCCAAAACTCTTCAGTCCAACATCAGCTCAGTTTTTAAAACGAAATATTTTTAAATGATCACTTTTTGTTATTTTCTATCAAATATAGCTTTAAGTTATGTTTGATGTCTGGATTAAATATCAAATAATCTGATGAACTTGCATCAAAGTGGTCCCTGTTTTTTGTTTTTTTTAAATATATTAAAGTACAAACACTGCCCCTCGGAAGGCTTCCTTATTTTGGCCAGTCAGAAAAAGATTGAGCTTTTCGAGAGGTGGGGCTTAGAGTCCAGAGCTAAAGCAGTTTGTCTGACAGAGGTCAGCATCACATAAACATGAAGAGTGATTAACAAATTTATATCTGACGCCACAGAGGCCCTAAATTCAAACAAAATGACCAAAATCATTTTAGATTTTTCTGTAATGTTAATTCACCAGTAAGTGTAAAAACTTTAACATTGATTTTTTAATGCTAAAATGTAATTATTGTTGTTGAATTTTCCAATTTACTGTTTTCACAAAAATGCTGAAAAAAAGGTGAAGTTGTTTTTAATTAAGTTGTTTCTAAAAAATGTGTGTTCCCTTGTTTTTATGACTGGTTGTCTAATAAATTTGTTAAGGGCTGTATTTTTTTTAAAACTGAATCATAAAAAGCTTTTCTGACCAGGGATAAAAACACTGAGCTGGAATATGAACTAAATAAATCAGTCAGAGATCTGCAGTCAGGCTACGACTGCTCAGGTACGTCTGCGGCAGGTAAATAATATTTGTTTGATGAATCAGATTCAGGTTTTCATGAACTGTGATGAACAGTGATGGTCTTCATGCCCCTCCACACAGCATGAGAGAGGTGTGGAGGGGCATGAAGACCATCACTGGATTCAGGCCAACCAACAGCAGGGGAGCTGAGGGAGGTGAGAATAGAGCCGACGAGTTGAATCTGTTTTTCAATAGATTCGACACCACAGTGTCTGCTCCACCCCCACAACCTCACCTGCAGTCAGCCTGGAATCCAGAGCCACACCACTGTGCCAGCCTCTCTCTTCACATGTTGCCTCCTGTGAGATTCCTGACACCCCTCCCCCACCCATCACCTTCACTCAATACCAGGTTGAGATGCAAATGAGGAGACTTCACTCAGGCAAGTCTGCTGGACCAGACGGAGTGAGTCCCCTTGTCCTCAAGGCCTGTGCCCCCCAGCTGTGTGGAGTCTTTCATAAACTGTTTATGCTGAGTCTGAGTCTGCAGAGGGTCCCGGTGATGTGGAAGACATCATGCCTCGTCCCTGTACCAAAGACGCCTCGTCCCAGTGGCCCCCAGGATTACAGGCCCGTGGCACTGACCTCCCACATCATGAAGACCCTGGAAAGGCTCATCCTGGACCAGCTGCGACCCATAGTAAGACCACATCTGGATCCCCTTCAGTTCGCTTATCAGCCTCGTCTCGGAACAGAGGACGCCATCATCTACCTGCTCAATCGTGTCTACACCCATCTGGACCAGCCGGCGAGCACTGTGAGGGTCATGTTTTTTGACTTTTCCAGTGCTTTCAACACCATCAGGCCGACCCTCCTGGGTGATAAGTTAGCAGCGATGCAGGTGGATGCTTCTCTGGTGTCCTGGATTGTTGATTACCTGACAGGAAGACCACAATATGTACGTCTCCCACAGTGTGTGTCTGACAAGGTGATTAGCAACACAGGGGCACCACAGGGGACTGTCCTCTCCCCCTTCCTCTTCACCCTCTACACCACAGACTTCAGCCACTGCACAGAGACCTGCCATCTTCAGAAGTTTTCTGATGACTCTGCGGTGGTTGGATGCATCAGCAGGGATGATGAGACAGAGTACCGGGCTGTGGTCGACTCCTTTGTCACGTGGTGTGAGCAGAATCATCTGCAGCTCAACGTGGCAAAGACCAAGGAACTGATCGTGGACTTCAGGAAGACCAGGAAACACTTGACCCCTGTTTCAATCCAGGGGGTCAGTGTTGACATTGTGGAGGACTATAAATACCTTGGAGTACACATTGACAATAAACTGGACTGGGCTAAAAACACCACAGCACTTTACAGGAAGGGCCAGAGTCGTCTCTATTTTTTGAGGCGACTGAGGTCCTTCAACATCTGCCAGAAAATGCTGAGGATTTTCTATGAGTCTGTGGTGGCCAGTGCGATCCTCTATGCTGTTGCATGCTGGGGGAGCAGGCTGAGGGTCGCAGATGCCAACAGACTTAATAAACTGATCCGTAAGGCCAGCAATGTTGTGGGGATGGAGCTGGACTCCCTCAAGGTGGTGTCGGAGAGGCGGATGCTGTCCAAGATAAAGACAATGTTGGATAACACCTCCCACCCACTCCATGACATGTTGGTCAGTCACAGGAGCTCGTTCAGTGAGAGACTGAGATTACCGAAAAGCACCACTGAACGACACAGGAAATCATTCCTGCCTGTGGCCATCTCCCTGTACAACGCATCCACTTAACACACTGTTTGCTGCTACAACTACACATGTTTCTTTTCCAAATATTTATTTATAAGTGACTTATGTATGTATGTATGTATATATATGTATATATTGTACTATTCTTAGTTAGCGTATTGTCTGTCTTGTCTTAATGTTGGTTTAAAATGGAGCACTGTAACAAAAAATAATTTCCCCCAGGGATCAATAAAGTATTCTGATTCTGATTCTGATTCTGATTCTGTGTGATAACTCCAGCCAATCAGAGACTGCAGCTCGTTCAGGCTGATTCAGAGAAAACCTGGTGTTTAAAAACCAACACGATATTTTCACTTCATAAATATTAATAAACTGACATGCTTGTACAAAAAATAAATATACACGTAACATCTCCATGAAACCAATCCAGTTCTTCATCTCGTCAGGTGGTTGCCAGGCAACATATAGGGTTGTTTTGACTGTTCTGTCTGCAGCGAGCAACCGTTCACCGTTACGTCACCGTTTTCAAAGACGGGGAGCAATGAACCCATTTATCTGCCAATTACAGCAACTTCCCATCACGTGGGTTCAAACATCAACAACATGTCGCGTGGGTCAAGTACATGGATTTGGTTTTTGAAAAATGACCTGAAATATGTGAACAACACATTTTTAACGACAAGAGGATGAAATCAACAGTCACATCACATCAGGACGGAAGACAATAAAGTGCATAAAACCACAAAAAAAACAGTCATCTGATAAAAACCTACATGTTTTATACATGGTATAAATAAAGTTTTCTCTGTGCATGCAGTTAGTGAAGATTCTGGTGTTTCTTCGTGTTTTCCTTCCCTGACTCCATCTTCATCTGTGTGCGGAGGCTTCAGGCTTTATGATCTGGTAGGTGATCAGGTACTCGGGGTAGGCCTGTGGGCGGCAGAGAGGCGTTCACTGACACTCTGTAACAGACACTCAACCTTCCCCAGTTACACCGAACTAAAAACTGATTCTTTCATTTACATTTTTTTCTACAATCACTTTGAGCTGGTGTATATGAAACGTGCTATTCATAAAAGGTTTCATGACGATTTCACACTCACAGAAACTCTGCAGCTGTTCATCACCAACTCCATTTATATTCACAGAAAGCTTTGAAACCTTTTCATGCACACGAGGCTGATGAAAACAGATTTCTCTTGAAACAACACCGAGTTAACCCCCCAAACTAGCTCTGAGCTCAGTTCGTTCTCACTCAGTTTGTTGTGAGGAGCTGCTGGTCGGCCTGGAACTGAATTTAAACTCAAAACAATGAGAGATGTTTCAACGCGAGCCCGCAGGCACCTCTCTGCTTGTTTGCGTTTGCAGGAAGACGACAGTAAATGTGACACTCTGACACTTTAACGTCCCCACTTCCTTCTCGTCCTCTCAGGCTGCTGCTTTCAGCACTAAAGCAGACCTCTGCATGTAATGCGACACACTTGTAACGTGGCTGATTGCTCAAGTGGACATGTATTCATGCCACTTTGTGAAGTGCCACTTCTGAGAAGATATTGGTTTTGGCACAAGACATTAGAAAATGTCCAACTGTCTGAGCACGAGCCGCTCTCTTCACTTATTCAACGATTATCTGTCATCTGGCTGTTTGTGTAGGAGACGCGTCCGCCTTTCAGAGGAAAGCTGAAGCCAACATGGCCGTGCTGCAGATTTAAGCAAAGCTCCACAGAGTTCGGTATTTAGCACGCTCGAGTTTGTGTATTAAACCTTTAATAAAATTCATGATTATTTCTTCAAAACTCTTAATTAACCCAAAATATTTGATGTTTCTAAGACTCCAAACCACAGACTTTATCCAAAAATAAAGTTCTAAGGATGACGAGGTGTTTCTGACCTGCTCTCCTCTGTAGATGACGTACTCGGCCAGAGCGAGGCCGTTAACGCTCGGCCTGCCGGTGACGGAGTGGTGACCCGGCGGCGAATGAGCCATCTTCATGGCGCTGAACTGCAGGAAGGATTTACCCAGAGTCACCCTGCAGAACAACAGGTGCCTGCGAGGAACAAAGAAGCGTGAGAGTGGTGCTCCACTGCAGTCTGAGCACAGGTGTGTTTGGGGGTGGAGGTCAGGTGGTGTACCTGTGGCAGACATAGCAGGAGCGGTCTTTGTGGAGCGGACAGCCCGTCCCTCCTCCGATGCCGTAGACGTACTGGTTACTCTTTGACGAGTTCTCTGCAAAGTAAATCCCGGCGCCGAACATCCCCCCGATGTACGCGTGGCGTTCATCGAAGCCTTTATGGATGATGGCGTTGACAAACGGCGAGCCTGAGAGGGAATCGATGCAGTACGATCAACGCCCACGTTAACATTACTGTTTCATGTCATGATTCGTATGATTCACGCTTCTGTCCCAACAAGTCTCTACTTCACTATCTACCTGTGAGAGGTGACCGACAAAGCTCTGAGCACATCTGCACAGATCCCAGGACAGCTGCCATTTTTATATCTGTCCCTGAACGTCTCATGTCCTCTAAAGCCTCAAGAGGGCAAACAGCCGCAGACCTGACGGCTGAGTTTTCAGTCCTGTCATACTTCTTTATAATCTGCTTCACAGCCATGTTGGCGCATGTGTGGTTGGAGATGAGTCCATGTGGTCACATGAAGCAGGCAGGCATGCAGACGTGCACGGACTGTCACTCAGAACGCGGCAGACTCGTGAAAATAAACTCCAGGCCTCGCACTGCGAGATCACCCCGATCACAGACAACTCTATGACTTTGACCTGAATTTGTGTTTGTTGGATCGTCGCCGGCGATGAGAGCTGGGTGTCCGTCTACAGTCCACCGTTCACAGGCAAACATCAGAGCAGAAGACATAGCAGATGCCATCTCATGCTGGCTTTGAGCCACACCAACACATTCTTCACTTGTGACACTTCCTGAAAATCAAAATCGTGTTGAAGCATCAGTGTTTCGACACACCCGAGGAGGTTTAGAGGAGAAGGGGAAACAGCCGCACTTCCACCGAGGGATCTAAGAATGGTAGCTGTGCTGAAAACCAGCGATGTACGTGGCCAAGTTTAAATCATGCAAGTCTTCCCCCACTGCTCTACACTGGTACACCTGATATTATAGAGGTTAGATCTGTTGACTGTTCTCCATCACAACACTTTTGCTGCTTGTTCCTATATCATGATCTTTGGTGTTCTGACCGTGAAACAGCATGCGCTCATTGGAGTGGTTGTGGTTTTCCTCAGACACTTCCTTCCTGCGGTGGCTGTACCTCTCCCACAGCTTCTTGTTGCAGACCTTCTGGATCTGAAACACAATCAGCTGAGAGTCAACACAGTGACCTCCTCTAACCTCTGACCCCACCACCATCATGCCCAACAGATGTTCATGTGAGAATAACAACGTCCCGTGGAGCTGGGTCACAACGTCCTGCATCTTAGCACCAAGTCTGTGATGGCGACCGTGTGTAAGACCTGCATTCTCATCTAAACCAAACAAAACAGAACTCATACGATGAAAATGATCTCCTGTCATGTGCTACACGTGAGAGAGGGCGGCTTCAGATTCTTCATCTATGAAAGCAAATCAGCCCGCAGCTCAGAAAATGACCCAGCAGCAGCAAAGACGCAGCCCTCCAAGTCTTCGCAGCGAGTTACCTTGACCAGGTTGTATCTGTTGAAGACTCCTCCAGCGTGGCCGCCGTCTCGGTGCTCTCTGATGGTGCTCTGCATCTGACCAACACAAACAAAACCACATTAGGACCGCGGCCTGGTAGGCTGTTAGGCCTTTAATCTCAGCAAACGTCCTCTCTGTGTTCACTGCCACCTGCTTTAGCTTCTCCACACTTTCACTGTACGTGTACTTTATTCTGTGCACACGACACGTTTGTGTGTCCTGAAGTAAGCATCGCTCACAGCTGGCTCTTTCACAGCGATGAAATAAATCAAGAGTTTCAGAGTTAACCTGCAGGTCTCATCATCAGGTATGAGTCAGTACCTCCTCCTCCACCGACTGGAACTCCTTGTCGTCGGCCGAGAGGTCGATTAAGATCGTCCCACTGTTGGCTGTGTTCAGCGTCAGATACGGATTCAGACCTGTCACAAACACACAAATCAGGAGTTTCTCAAATACGATGGAGAAAAACTTAAAGCAAGCCAACCCCGACCCAAACAGTCGAAGTCATCGTGGTTACCTGCCTCGGTCCACCTGCTGGTATAACATGTGTTTTCTCTTCATTCATTAAAGCTCATGAAATGATTGGAATGTGTTTCAGTCATTAAGTGGAGGAGACCTAACCCCTGGCTCTCGTGAACCTCATCAGTAAGAGGAGGGGGTCCTGTCAATCAAAACAAGGGGCCTTAAAGGGGGAGGAGCTAAGAAATCATGCTCAGATCAGAGAAATAAAGATTATTTAGTGTTGGGAATCATACAAAGCTGCTCTGATAGAGTCCAATGATACAAATCTAGAGTGCACAATGAGCAGAATAACTCCAGTTTAAATGTGTGTGCGTGTGTCCTCACTCTGCGGCCCACTGATGAGCCTCTCCACTCCTTTGATGATCTTGTGTCTGTGTCCGTAGGCGTTGATGCCGATCTCCTTCAGCTCGCGATGACCCATCTCCACCACAACGTCTAGAGTGATCTACACACACACACACACACACACACACACACACACACGTTTACTGCCTTTGTAAGGACATTCAGTGACACAACCTATTTTTTGGGTCCAAAGAAAAACGAACCAGAAGCTTAAAACTGAGTCAGAAACCATCTGCAGGCCTTTGCTTGATTCTTTTATTTGCACTGAAACTAAACGACTCTGAAACAGATCGTTTATGAAGCGCGACAGCTGTCACCCAAACTAACCAAGCAAAGGTCATTACAGCTTCTCACAGCTGCTGCAGAGCGGTTTTACTTTTCATTCATTTAGGAGGTTTATCAGCATTCATGTGAAACATTATGCGCAACTGCCAGGTGCTGCTAATCAGAGGCTTTTGATAAACTGATGATCAACACGTGAATATAAAAGTTTAGGCAGACCCTAACATGCTAACTGAGACCTGTAAAGGTCAGAGTTCATTGGCTGTTTGGGAGGGGTTAGGGGCTGTTTTTTTTTGTTGTTTTTTTTACAATTTTAGCCAAATTAAAGGTGTTAACAGCAGATGAATCATGTGTTAGCACTTCCTGTTGATATCACTGGATATCTGTGATCTTCAAGTCTCTCCACAGTAACAGCAGGAATAATTGTTGTTCATCAGTCCTTTCAATGGATGGAAAGTTTCCTCATATTTAAATAAAGAAATTCTTCAATGAAAGTCGGTGCAGCTAATGCTCTTGTACCTGCCGTCACTGTTTCCTTACACACGGGAAACCTGCCAGTAGTTTGCCGGTGTCGAAGTTCTCACCTGCTCCCTGTCGAAGATCTCCAGAAGATGCTCCAACCCCAGGTTCTCCAAGAACTGACAGATGCTGAGCTCAGTCCCTGAACAACAAACACAATCAGTTCAGAAACCAAAACAAGACGGCGTTCATCCAGAGGCTCTCGGCACGCGATCCACAGGAATACAACTGACCGCAGTGGGAAAAGGAAAAAAGCAATTAAGTAGAACATCGCTCGGCCTGTTACCAAACTGGACGGTTCACACCGTCTGTGACAGAAACCCAACTATCCCTGCAGCTAACACTCGGGCAGGATACGTCCTGGTTGTCACAGCTTGATCGGATTGGTGGCGTCTTCTGTGGTGATGCGTTTGGCTCGCTGTAGTTCAAACCTCACGGAAGATATTTAACTGATACTACAGTGATCCTGGGATTGATGTAGAACTGAGCATTTTTGCCCTTAGCACCTTAGCTTTCTGAAACCATATGTCATGCTCCCTGTAGTGGCTGAAAAGTTAGCCTCATCCTAAACTCTGACTCTAACAGGACCAAAACTTCCAAAATGAAGATCATGTTTTATTCAGTCATAATAAAATAATAAAGTAGTAAAAAGAAAGCAAGAGGAAGCTTTTTATCTCCTGGACTTCAGGAGTCGCCCCCTGCTGGCCAGTTTAAGGCTCTTCAGCTCGGGCCTCACTTGTCAGACCTTCAGCGCAGGTTAGCTGTTGATTTCACATCACGTTTTTTTTAAATCACCGACCTTCATCTTTTTTCTCTATGCCCGGGGATCCCTCCGCAGCCAACAGCAGGGCCGACATCTCAGGAAATGGTGAGGACGATGATGGCGGCGGTGAAGACGAGAGGCTTGCAGCAGCGGCTGTGTTACTGGTCGCTGCTGCAGATGTGGAGGAGGAAGAGATGGAAGGGGAAGAAGACAGGAGGAGAGAAGGTGTGGGGCAGGCAGATGACGAGGAAGGGTTGGAGGAGAGGAGTGGTGGGATGGCGGTGACAGGTGGAGCACCGGAGGCAGACATCGCTACGCTGATGACCTGAGGTTTGTAACAGCCAGGGAGAGCGGAGGGAGGCATCGCCGCTGTTAGCAAGGCCCGGACATCATCAGCCTGCAGGAGGAAGAGGAGGAGGAGCTTATCAATGTGTTTTATCACCACAAGCTGTTTTATGGTGGACTGTCCCTTTAACTCAGTGTGAGACTGACTGTGACCAGGTCCAGAGGCGACTGTCCTTCCTGGTTCCGCAGGGTCGGGTCAGCGCCGTGAGCCAATAGGAGAGCACAAAGCTGCGTGCGTCCCTTCTGAGCGGCCTCGTGCAGTGGCGTGAACGCCCACTTATCAGTGCCGTTAACACAGGCGTCGTACTTGATAAGGAGAGCCGCCACATCCACGTGCTAGAAGAGATGGCACAATGTTCACACTCAGCAGGCTTTTATTGTGAAAGGAAATAAAAACTGATTTATGTCCTCTGATAATCGTGTTTGTGAGATGTGAAGACACACACACGCGCACACACACACACACACACACACACACACACGCTAACTGTGTCATTTCCCTCCTCCTCACTGAAGTGTGTTTGTTCACACTCCGTCTCCAGGGGCCCGTTCTTCGTACGTCGCTTACTACATCCAAGATCAAATGACACATCCAAGACCAAATCATCGCGCTAACGTTGAGCTCGCTAATCCGGTTCTCCGAACACACCTGCTGTTGACGATTAGTACAGCTGGATGAAGTAATGTGAGATCACTGGGTGTGGTAAAAGGGGCTACGCATCGATAGTAGAAACATTGATCGGCAACCCTCTGATTGGTCGGCGAAAATGTCGAAGGAGCGCTCTCGGTATTTTCCGGCAGCAGAGCAAGAACTCTTGATTGAGGGATTTCAGGAGTTTCAGAGTTTAATCAGAACGCAAGGGAACACTGCAAAGGCTGCAAAAGCAAGGAGAGAGGGCTGGCAGGAAGTTGCTGACAAATCAAACTCGTAAGTAAGTTAATAATAACAATAATAATGGAGTGGATTGATATAGTGCTTTTCAAGGCACCCAAAGCGCTTTACAATGCCACTATTCATTCACTCTCACATTCACACACTGGTGGAGGCAGCTACGGTTGTAGCCACAGCTGCCCTGGGGCAGACTGACAGAAGCCAGGCTGCCATATCGCGCCATCGGCCCCTCTGGCCAACACCAGTAGGCAGTAGGGTAGATTTATTATATTACACCATATTATCCAATATTATATTATGTTATATTATATCCCCTTTCACATTAGAGCCACAACAGGACCCACTAGAACATGGGAACAAGTAAAAGTGAAATATAAGAATATTCCACAGAATGGTAATATTTATCACTTATATTGCTTTTATTCTCTTGGAAAGAGACCCTGAAATACTCTGTTTGTTTGTTCATAACAGCAACCAAGAAAAGGGCAGAGCAAAAAAAGACAGGTGGTGGTCCTGCACCCCCTCGTCAACAAGTTGGTTAAGTAAATAATACCCTCACGGGAATATCGATATCTCTCAATGAGCACACTGTCGCGCTGAGCTAAAGGATCCTGTCTGTCCCGCAATATACGCTGAATTCTGAGGACTCTCCTTATCAATCTTGCACCTTCCGCAATGGGTGGCTCGCGTAAACGGACAGGACATGGCTGCGACAGGCTTCCCAAATCCACCTTCACTTTTATAGCCGTGGTCTCCCATCTTGTTGACGCAACAACATTGTCATCCCCTATGTAGCCGGTGTATCAGAAAAACTCAGGAGAGTTTTCTCCAAGCATGACATCCCGGTGCATTTCAGACCCACCAACACGCTCAGACAAAAACTGGTTCACCCGAAAGACAAAACGCCAAAACACAGACTTAACAATGTGGTGTATGCTGTACAGTGCAGTGAGGAATGCCCAGACCTCTACATTGGAGAGACCAAACAGCCACTTCACAAGCGCATGGCACAACATAGAAGAGCCACCTCCACAGGACAAGACTCAGCAGTCCATCTGCATCTTAAGGATAAAGGACACTCTTTGAGGATGCCAATGTTCACATTTTGGACAGAGAGGACAGATGGTTTGAAAGAGGAGTGAAAGAAGCATCTATGTCCACTGTGAGCGACCATCTTTGAACAGAGGCGGGGTTTACAACACCAACTCTCTGCCATCTATAATCCAGTTTTGAGATCCTTCCCAGACGCCTTAACACCCACTCACATCCTGGGCCATCTGACCTCAGGAATTCGCATGATAAGGTGGGGCCAGGTTTCACAATGAACCAACCCGAAACTCTGGCTGATTGGGACCCACACCCAGTTTCACACCTTGGCTCAGGCGATTAGAGGATCATCAGGGGGTCCTTTTGTCCCTCTGTGAGGGGAAACTCCCACTAGGTTATATCTGGGACTCTCCACCATTTGACCTTAGAACTGAAGAAGCTTCTCGGATGAGAGGTGAAACGTCTTCAAGTAACTTAAAGAAGTCCAGACGCTTTTCTTTGCAAGCTCCTTTGACTATGATGACCTGGATGACTGAGAACCTTCACAGACGTCTCCCATCTTGATTACACGAAGTAATTTACAATTACTACTCTGAAATATGAATTACATCTGTAATAATCACATACATGTAATAGAATGATTAATAGTACATTTCCCTTTTTTAGGAAATGACCTGTATGTATCTGTGTGACATCAATAAAAGGATCAAGTGCTGCATTACCTTTAGTTACATTGATGTTATTTATTTATGGTGAAACAGTGGTGGAATATCGCTGTTGCTTTCGTATAAATGAAGCGGACATACCTGCGTGGCCGCGATCTAATCCTGTTTACATAAAGTAAACCTGCTCCCGAGCAGGTTTACGCTTACGGCTCTGTTGCTATGACAGCAAGTCCCGGATGAGCTTCGGGGAACCGAACGATCCAAGATCACGCGAAATCGTCAACAATCTAATCCAGCTAACTTACTTAGCGAGGTACGAAGAACGGGCCCCAGCTCACCAGTCTGTGTGTTTTGGTGCACTTAAACCAAAAGGGGGCGCCACAGGGGAAAAAACAAAAGCTCAGTTAAAGCCTTTATTACTGCCACACACAATAGAGCACAATAAGGCCACATTAGACACAATGGCACCACCATGTGGTCAGTTAAAAAACTACAATGGTGTAGTTTATCAGCCTGTTTCAGGCTGTCCTGTGATTTCAACTAAAGAAACCTTTCAGCAATCACACTGAAACATCTCTCAGACGCACACTTTTTGTTTGCTTTGTCAGGCGTGTGTCTGTCTTCGCGATTCTGATGTTGTGGAGAGAAATCTGTTTACACCGGCACTTTCTGGGTACTTTCTCTCTTTTTTTCCTCCTCGGGGAGATAATTACATGTTAGCATAAAGACTGTGTTTAAGGTTAGAGTCCTAAACTGGATTAGGTGTGTGTGTGTCTGTACCTGTCTGTCTATCTTTGTGAGGACCAATCTTTTTCTTGTATCTAGACATTTGTGGAAAGTGAGGACTTTTGTTCCTCATCACAGGGCAAAGCTTCAGCTGGTTTCGAGTTCATAACAACAACAATAATAATAATAATAATAATAATAATAATAATAATAATAAATAATAATAAAAAAATGGATTTATATAGCGCTTTTCAAGGCACCCAAAGCGCTTTACAATGCCACTATTCATTCACTCTCACATTCACACACTGGTGGAGGCAGACAGACTGACAGAAGCGAGGCTGCCATATCGCGCCATCGGCCCCTCTGGCCGAGTTCAGACGTGGTTTTAGGTTCAGAGCTAACGATGTGTGTGAATGTTATCCCCGACTCACCCCGTACGAGGCAGCGTTGTGCAGAGGGATCAGTCCACCTTTGTCCTGAGAGTTGACCTCAGCTTCGTGCTGCAAAAGGTACTCTGCCACCTCCAAGTTATTATAGCCCGCTATACACACAAAGAAAAACATGCGTATACATATGTATGACAGCATGTTGGAGAAATTAATAATGCAAGAGAATAATTTAACATTTAATAGAATATTTTAACTTTAGCAGGATGTAAAATATAAATTAAATGTGGAATCAAATATGTGAAACTAGATATCACAAAAACAAGTCCTCTTTGCCATCGAGCATTCAGGCGTCACTTTGTCATGACTGTAAACTGTTTTTTATATTTATATATATATAAAAAAAAAACACCCAGCACGCCCCTGCGGGCGGTTTATCCTTCAAGCTCAGGTCCTCTACCACAGGCCTGGGAGCTTGAGGGTCCTGCGCAGTATCTTAGCTGTTCCTAGGACTGCGCTCTTCTGGACAGAGATCTCCGATGTTGTTCCTGGGATATGCTGAAGCTACTCGCTTAGCTTGGGAGTCACCGCACCTAGTGCTCCGATTACCACGGGGACCACCGTTACCTTCACCCTCCACATCCTCTCGAGCTCTTCTCTGAGCCCTTGGTATTTCTCCAGCTTCTCGTGTTCCTTCTTCCTGATATTGCTGTCATTCGGAACCGCTACATCGATCAGTACGGCTGTCTTCTTCTGTTTGTCTACCACCACTATGTCCGGTTGGTTAGCCACCACCATTTTGTCCATCTGTATCTGGAAGTCCCACAGGATCTTAGCTCGGTCATTCTCCACCACCCTTGGGGGCATCTCCCATTTTGACCTCGGGACTTCCAGGTTATACTCGGCACAGATGTTCCTGTACACTATGCCGGCCACTTGGTTATGGCGTTCCATGTATGCCTTGCCTGCTAGCATCTTGCACCCTGCTGTTATGTGCTGGATTGTCTCTGGGGCATCTTTACACAGCCTGCACCTGGGGTCTTGCCTGGTGTGATAGACCCCAGCCTCTATGGATCTTGTGCTCAGAGCTTGTTCTTGTGCTGCCATGATTAGTGCCTCTGTGCTGTCTTTCAGTCCAGCTTTGTCCAGCCACTGGTAGGATTTCTGGATATCAGCCACCTCCTCTATCTGCCGGTGGTACATACCGTGCAGGGGCCTGTCCTTCCATGATGGTTCCTCCTCTCCCTCCTCTTTCTTGGGTTTCTGCTGCCTGAGGTATTCACTGAGCACTCGGTCAGTTGGGGCCATCTTCCCAATGTATTCTTGGATGTTCGTTGTCTCATCCTGGACTGTGGTGCTGACACTCACCAGTCCCCGCCCCCTTCCTTCCGCTTAGCGTACAGCCTCAGGGTGCTGGACTTGGGGTGAAACCCTCCATGCATGGTAAGGAGCTTTCTTGTCTTTATGTCAGTGGCTTCTATCTCCTCCTTTGGCCAGCCTATTACCCCAGCAGGGTACCTGATCACGGGCAGGGCGTACGTGTTGATGGCCCGGATCTTGTTCTTACCATTCAGCTGACTCCTCAGGACTTGCCTGACCCTCTGCAGGTACTTGGTGGTTGCAGCTTTTCTAGCGGCCTCTTCATGGTTCCCATTTGCCTGCGGGATCCCCAAGTACTTGTAACTGTCCTCTATGTCTGCAATGTTGCCTTCTGGTAGTTCAATCCCCTCAGTTCTGACTACCTTCCCTCTCTTTGTTACCATCCGACTACACTTCTCCAGTCCGAACGACATTCCAATGTCATTGCTGTATAGCCTGGTAGTGTGGATCAGTGAATCGATGTCTCATTCACTCTTGGCATACAGCTTGATGTCATCCATGTACAGGAGGTGGCTGACAACTGCTCCGTTCTGTAGTCGGTATCCGTAGCCAGTCTTGTTAATGATCTCACTGAGGGGGTTCAGGCCTATGCAGAACAGCAGTGGGGACAGAGCATCTCCTTGGTAGATCCCGCACTTGATGGTGACTTGTGCTATGGGCTTGGAGTTGGCCTCTAGTGTTGTACGCCACATCCCCATTGAGTTCCTGATGAAGGCTCTTAGGGTCCCATTGATCTTGTACAATTCTAGGCATTCCAGTATCCAGCTGTGGGGCATTGAGTCATAGGCCTTCTTGTAATCAATCCAGGCAGTGCACAGGTTGGTCAGTCTGGTCTTGCAGTCTCGGCTGATTGTTCTGTCTACCAGTAGCTGGTGTTTTGCGCCTCTGGTATTCTTGCCAATTCCTTTCTGTGTCCCGCTCATGTATTGACCCATGTGCCTGTTCATCTTAGCCGATATGATGCCTGACAGGAGCTTCCATGTAGTACTGAGGCAGGTTATTGGTCGGTAGTTGGAGGGGACCGGTCCCTTCTTGGGGTCCTTGGGGATCAGGACCGTCCGGCCTTCAGTTAACGAGAGACACCCGGAATGGCTAACTAGCAGCTGGTTCATTTGTGCTGCCAGACGCTCGTGGAGTGCAGTCAGCTTCTTCAGCCAGTAGGCGTGAACCATGTCGGGCCCTGGTGCTGTCCAACTCTTCATACTGGAGACCCTTTCTTGGATATCTGCCACTGTGATGGTTACTGGACCCTGTTCAGGGAGGTCGCTGTGGTCAGCCCTCAGATCCTCTAGCCACTGAGCATTGCCGTTATGGGTTGCATCCTTCTCCCATATGCTCTTCCAGTATTGGGTACGGAGAGGCAGACGCACAATGCTGAGAGCGCACACACACACACACGCTTGTTTTTAACACTGAAAATTGTCAATCCATTAAAATCTGCGTGAGTAACTCGGGGCGACTGCACAGGACTGAACACGGCGCCTCACCAGCGCCGTCTCCTGAGTGTGCGGGTGTTTGAAGCTGATGGTCTCCACGCTCAGATGCTTTTTCACTTGAACCATGTCGGCGTCCCTCGCCGCCTGCAGCAGGCTGTGACCTCTGAACTCATCTGAGAAAACAGAAAATCCTCAATGTGCACGCTAATCTGCTAATGACTGTTTGACTTATTTTCTTACAAACAGGACGTACAGGCGAGCCGCTCCTTCAGCTGTGCGGTTGGAGCGAGGTCGATGGAGCTTTTATTGTGACAGTTCAGGAAGGTGGGGTCGGCGCCGTAACTCAGCAGCAGAGAGCACACCTGTGCAAACATACGAGGGCCACCTGAGTAAGAACTGGGGAGGAGGGACTATTTCTACAGCAGAAAGTAGTTCCGGTGCCCATGATGCTGTGCTCTGTGTGACTGTTCAGAGTTACTGTGTCAAACATAAGGCCTGAGGGCCAGAATCAACCCGGCAAAGACTCCAATCTGGCCTACTGGACATTTTTGGAAAAGTTAAAAGACGACACAGATTATGGACTTTAACTTGATTTTCACAGCTTGTCCTGCTGATAAAGACAGAGCCATAGTATAAAGTAAACGCAGAGTTATAAAGTAATAGACAACTAAATCTGCAGTAGAAATATGTTTCTATTTTGTGTTGACTTTTACACATTTATTTTTTTAGATTAAGTCCAAAGAGTGGAGCTGACAGATCTCCGCAGCAGCACTTCTTTTTCTTACATTGAGATTTCTCAGGGATTAAATGTGCAGTTAAACTTTTTCACCAGCACTTAAGATCAAAGCAGTCTGTGTGTGGCCCGCAATAATCTGCTTCATATTTATTGGTTATTTGGATGAAGCAGCTGTTTTAAGGAGAAAGAGCGTACACGGTGTCATTTCAGAAGCCTAACTGGCATCACAGTGAGGTTTTGTCGGGAACAACAGGGAGAAAACATGTTTAATGAAGGCGCAAATATCCGACACACTGCAGCGCCATCTAGTGACCAAATAAAAAAACCGCAACCTCGAGGATGCTTTGAGTGTAAGAGCTGCATTAAGGAAAAAACTTTGCATTTTAATTAAAATGCAAATCTTCAGTTTTTCCATCCTGAAAATTCTGTTGATGAACGCTGTCCTGCAGGTGTTGAGCTCCAGGGTGCGCTGTGATTGGCTGTAGTGAGTTTTGTGTTTGTTTTACCTCAACGCGGTTCTTGGAAGCAGCTTCATGCAGAGGCGTGAACTGCCACAGGTCCATGGCGTTCACGCAGGCGCCGTGCTGCACACGGAGACGGGACGGATTAGTATGGGTATGACCCCCACCCCCACCATGTGCACAGTGCCCGTTCTGCTCGAGCCTGATAAAGTGACAGATACCTTCACCAGCAGCTCGATGACCTCGTAGTGGCCGTACGAACAGGCGTTATGAAGAGGAACCAGGTCCCTGAAACAAACACAACAGCGAGCGGTCAAAACTGCTGCTGCGTTTAACACGTCACAGCCGAGGTGGAGCACTGCGTGTTAAAGAAAACCATCCACAGACTGCAGGCCTCTGTTGAGCCTTACAGTGAAAACTAAGGTCTCTAATCAGAAGTACCTGACTCCGTGGTATAATTCTGAAACACGTACCCTAAAGCAGATGACTCGTAATCTGGAGAGGAAATGGCGTGTCACAAATTTAGAGGATCATCATTTAGCCTGGAGAAATAGTTTGCTGCTTTATAAGAAAGCCCTCCACAAAGCCAGAACATCTTACTATTCATCACTGATTGAAGAAAATAAGAACAACCCCAGGTTTCTCTTCAGCACTGTAGCCAGGCTGACAAAAAGTCAGAGCTCTTTTGAGCCAACAATCCCTTTAACGTTAACTAGTAATGACTTCATGAACTTCTTCACAAATAAAATTTTAATCATTAGAGAAAAAATGACCAGTAATCATCCCACAGATGTAATATTATCTACAGCTACTCTTAGTACCATTGATGTTAAGTTAGACTCTTTTTCTCCAATTGATCTTTCTGAGTTAACTTCAATAATTACTTCCTCCAAACCATCAACGTGTCTTTTAGACCCCATTCCTACAAAACTGCTCAAAGAAGTCCTGCCATTAATTAATTCTTCTATCTTAAATATGATCAACCTATCTCTAATAATAAGCTATGTACCACAGGCCTTCAAGCTGGCTGTAGTTAAACCTTTACTCAAAAAGCATCTCTAGACCCAGCAGTCTTAGCTAATTATAGGCCAATCTCCAACCTTCCTTTCATATCAAACATCCTTGAAAGAGTAGTTGTCAAACAGCTAACAGATCATCTGCAGAGGAATGGTTTATTTGAAGAGTTTCAGTCAGGTTTCAGAGCTCATCACAGCACAGAAACAGCTTTAGTGAAGGTTACAAATGATCTTCTTATGGCCTCTGACAGTGGACTCATCTCTGTGCTTGTCCTGCTAGACCTCAGCGCAGCATTCGATACTGTCGACCATAATATCCTATTAGAGCGATTAGAACATGCTGTAGGTATTACAGGTACTGTGCTGCAGTGGTTTGTATCATATCTATCTAATAGACTCCAGTTTGTGCATGTAAATGGAGAGTCCTCTTCACACACTGAGGTTAATTATGGAGTTCCACAGGGTTCAGTGCTAGGACCAATTCTGTTTACATTATACATGCTTCCCTTAGGCAGCATCATTAGAAGACATAGCATACATTTACACTGCTATGCAGATGACACCCAGCTCTATCTGTCCATGAAGCCAGATAACACACACCAATGAGTTAAACTGCAGGAATGTCTTAAAGACATAAAGACCTGGATGGCCGCTAACTTTCTGCTTCT